AGAAGCACAAAAATCAAGAGAAAATGAACTCATATATATTGGTTTTTTTCTTTTGTTTTTGTTTTTTTTTTTTTTTTTTTTCTTTTGTTTTTGTTGTTGTTGTCACGCTGCTTTTTTTATTTCCTATCCACAAAGATTCTCATGAATATATATGTATATGTATATATATTTGAATTGAAAAAGAATTACAAACAATTAAAAAGTTAACGTATCTCTAACAAGCCCCTCGGTATCGTAGCGTGTCAACTAATGAGCAATTTGAAGATATTGTTGACACTACTTGCTTTATATCTCCCTCCAATCACATCAGTCTTGACAGCTTTTTAATTTGCCTAAGGAGCGTAAAGAGTAGGTCTTGTCGGGCTAAGCCTCACTAAGCAGCTATCAGTCAGTCTCTAAACTTGAACTCAATCGTTTGGCTTGTCTCTCGGCTAGATCTTCGCTGACTCTAAAAAAACGCCTCTTCAGCAAACCACAATCTTCCAAAAACCCAAAATGATGGATTTTCTAGTCAAAACATCTTTGTTTTTGATACTTTTGATGGTGATAACGATGGAGAATGCGTCTTCTGAAATGGGTACGTGCAACTACGTTTTATTATTCTTGACCTTTGCTGTTCCTTGCGTTCGAAAGAAAAAAGAAAAATCAAGGAGAGAAAAAAAAACATCTCTGCTTTGTTTTAATATCGTTTTTCTGAGATTATTTTATTAAGAAGCCAATGACAATGAATTTGTTGTACAACAATTTAATTGTATGTTACCAAGTTTTTTTGAAAAAGTAGGGGTTTTTTTTGATCAATCAGGCCAAAGTGACCTCTCCGTCAACCACAGACATAGCTCAAGGGTAGACACGGAGAAAATTGATTCTACACATGACGATAAAACTCGTTTATAAGAGTTATTTAGCTCAGTTATCAAGACTTTTAGGGAATTTCTTTTTGCTTTGTACAACTTGAAGCTTTTTTTTTCTAGTAGAACTATAAATGAACAATGACTCGCATTTTTTTGACGTGATCGATCAGAGTAAACAAGGCAGCAATATTGAAGCTTCTAAAATTCACAATTCAAAAACTTTATAAAAACTCCTTAAAACAAGAGCAAGTTTCTTTTTTATCGCTCTTTAATGCATGTTTTTCAAGTTGTATTGGTCTTGGTGTATAGTAATGGTTTTTTATAGATATATTCTATCAGGTGAAACTGAACACGTTTTGCCAGACGACTTTGGTCAAATTCAATCAGTAATGTCGTATTTATGTTTTTCTTCGTAAATTTTATGTTTTATGAGGTTTTGATCATATTGGCAAATGTCGCCATCTACTTTTTTCAGTTTTTTTTTGGTACAATGTTTTTTCTTCACTTGACCGAGTGAACTAGTGAAAATAACAGCTGTCTGTAGAGAGGAACTAGAGCTGCTTACGAGTTTTACAAACAGTAGCTAGAACACTTGCTCTACCCTACAACATCAATCCTACACTTAATCTTATCCTATATTTAAAAAGGTCCTGAAAGGGGGGACCTTAATCCCATTTCCCAGCGCCCATTTTTACTAAATCCCATAGTCCCTCATAGTCCAAGCCTATGTCTTACTCAAATCTCAATCCCATATTTTTGATCTTTTTTTTTTCTTTGTGAATACCACTCCCAGTGCATAAGATCCCATTTTCCCAACCCCCAAAAAGGCGAATCCCAGCTCCCATTTCAAGATCATAGGACTCTTTTGTACACTCACAATTATTCAAGGTCATGATGCTGTTTCCTGATGCTTATTATCTTGAATGACCTTAATTCGATCAAACGAGTCACCGCAATAGAGCTAATTATCCCAAAAAAAAGCCCAGATGGAATCGTAATTGGTACGTCGACGGACTCTTAATGGTTAAAAATATATCTTGTTTTGTAAAGATATCGTTAGGAATCTCCTGGTTTGTCAATATTCTTTATTTGTGATTATAACAACCAATAAAGAAATCAATTCTTTAAACATTTCATTAAAGGATGCATCAAATTAGCTATCTTTTTTCAAACCCCAAATTAGTGCAATGATCATATCACCTAATTACGAATACTAATATTATTCATTCATAAAAGTTTAAAATCTCAAATGACAAGTCTTGGTTAGTGAAGGATTCGTTGACACAGATTACATTGTTATCGTGGTTTATTGTCGCGGTAATCAGTGCATTGAAAGATTTGTTGCATCTTATTGTCTGAACAGATGAAAAACCCCTAAGATAATCATGAATCTGGTTTTCTCATCTTGTTTAAAAGGTTATATGGTCTCTTTTTACATTAGTGCTTCGTATTTTTCGTCTAACAGGGTTTCAATTTTTCGCAGTGCATCTCAGTAATGATCATGAAAAATAAAATTAAAAAAAAGAATGCTTACACTAACGAACTACCATAGCTAGAAAACGTCACGAACGTACGTCCGTGTAGCGACCGTTAAGTGTCATGTGCGCATTGGAAAAACCTTTTTCCGTGTTCAGCTATGTTGGATGACAGATAAGATACTGGCGATTATTCCAATATGTCGGGTTGCTATGATGGTCACATAACGGTGCAAAACATCTGTAGCTTGGAAACCAGCTCTTCCTAATTAGTTAACGTGAATCACAAGAACTAACTGGTAGCTAATTGTACATTGAAACCGACAAGAACTAATTAGTTATAATCGGCCCCTATTAGCGCGGAACCACTTGACGTAAATAAATAAATTAACGATATTGAACCAAAACTGAAATTTTGATTTGCTTATTTTATGAAAATGCGGATAAAGTAAAACTAAATATTACAGAAGTTCAATTATGCTTATAAATATATTTCTCATTGGTAAAAACTTTGTAACTACGACTTTAACCTTTATTTTCGGCATTGTGACGTTAACTTTTTAGGTTAATACTCTATTAATTTTTTTTCCAATACGCCTTATTTAGATTTTTATTTTTTATTTGTTGTTGTTGTTGTTGTTGTTGTTTGTTTTGTTTGTTTGTTTGTTTTGTTTTGTTTTGTTTTGTTTTGTTTTGTGTTTTTAATTCTTGGGGTGCATGTTACGTCATAGCCAAAATGTTGGTTGACGATAACAAAGCATGCCTCGTAGATATGCTTACTATCAATCACGTGACTTCTTGGAGTTGCCTGGGGGGCAAACCACAGGTAGCCCAAACTTGGTTTCTGTGGTGTCCTGCTATAAGGAAATGTATGGAGATTCATCAAAAATTTTAATAAAATCTTTGAAACGTGAAATAAAGCCTCGACATTTTACCCGATCATTGAGAAATAGCACTTCTTTCGCTCTGCGTGGTTATTTTTTGAATTTAGCTCGTTTTAAGATTTTTTCCCCCACCAGTAAGAAATAATTCTCCCACTTCTGCAAGCGTTGCACCCCAAAAAAATCATCGGATCTCTTCACGGTTTATGCGACTCTACGAGATTTACTCCCCTAGATATGCATCCTCGCGGGAACCCAGGGGTAAAGTCCTGTCACTCGTTTCTCTTACCCCTGGGCCCCGATAATGTAGGATATGTCGCTAATAAAATATCGAAACTTGTTCAGTCTGTCAGGATATCTTAGAAGAAAAACTGTGCGATGCTCAAGTTCAAGTTGATAAATCGCAATGCAATGAGGTGCCATGGAATTCAAAATGCCGTAAAACATGTGGAAGATGCGGTAAGTACGTATAGATGCAGCATATCAAGACATCACTTTCTGGGACATGCAAAGAAAATCCTATATCGGAAGGCCAAAATGGCGACCGCAAATCAAATTAGCGTCATACCCCAGAAATACAAAATGTCTGCACATTTGTCAATTTTCGACTAAAGTTTTCTCGGATGATATAACACCTGGCGTAATGAATCTTCGTATGGTTATACTAAAGTAAAGGATCTCGTTAAAGGATCTCAAAATAATTTCTGATATGTCTTAAATTTGTTCAGATGAATGTTACGATGCAGAGAGCATGATGACGTGTGATTCCCAAAAAGACAGATGTGACGAGATTAATGTTGCTCATGAATGCAGTCAAACCTGTGGTGTCCTTGGCTGCGAAAAGGTAATGAAAAATTTGTAAAGCAACATATAAGTTTATAAGGTGATAAGAGTGTTTGTGTTTGTTTTTACATTTATACTTTTATTTATTCATTCTTGTTTTTTAATTTGATGAATCCTTGTGGTGTGTGTGTGTTACTTAATATTGAATCCTTTATTCTCTATCACTTTTCTTTGATTTGTCATTTGTTTGCTTTTTACGCATTTACTTGATTGTTCTGATTGTTGGTTCGTTGGTTCGTTGGTTCGTTGGTTCGTTGGTTCGTTGGTTCGTTGGTTCGTTGGTTCCCTTTTTCAGCTCACTCTGTCAATATTATAGGAGGTCATCAATATAATATATATAACAACAACTTTTTTTTAAAAATTCTCAGTGTGAGAGTTAACTTATTAATGGACCTTGAGCTTTGTGTTTCTTCAAGAGCCACTTGGAGTAAAATTTATTCATTTCCGATAGCTTCAATGAACTCAAGAAGGTAATAGTCAAGAAGGTAAAACAGATGTCGCGTAGCTGGTCTAGCTCTTGACTATGAATGAGCGAGCCCAAAAGTAGTTTTAACTTTTCATTTGTTACTGATTTCAGAAAACAAGGCGAGTCTATCACATGTCTTGACTGCTTAATTAGCCCAAGTCAACCAAGAGCTTCCCCAATGGCTAAAAAACGAGTTTACGTAGTGACGTAATTATACGCCATAATTGATCAATTTTTGTTCATATAGTCTAACTTATTGCCTGCGTGCAGCCGAACCTTTCTCTCGTATAGTACATAGTACTTAACAGTTAGTTAGAGGCCGGCTGCACGCAGGCTATCTAACTTATTATAGAGACAACGTCTGTATTATCAATCTAGTAAATACATGGAAATAAAAACCTCTGGAATTTAAATTGAAGTTGGAAACTCAAATTTTTATCCTATCGAGCTCTCAGTAAAACAACGTCTCAGGTCGAACCCTATAAGGCAACCTCCGGGCTGATTTATATCAGTTTTAGTTCCTAGATTAGATTTTAGGTCCTAGATTAGTAAAGAGGAAAAGTTGTTGGGGAATAATAGAGTTAAGTCGCTACTTAACCTGGCCCTCCTTGGCCAACCTGAAATATACACCTCCTCACGCATCGCAGGACATCCCCMCCCCCCCCCCACCCCCTCCGTTATAAGTGTAAACCATACCAATGGTTGACTAGGTCACGTGATCCAAAAACAAGCAGTTTTCACAAAACGAGCATCAGAAATGAAATGTCAAGAAAGAAAGAAATATTTTTAAATAAAATAAGGATTTCTTTTAGACAAATGTTGGATTGGGTCAGTGCATTTTCTGATACAAATCCCTTACTATGAAACATTCAATTTTACTTTGGTTTTTCAAGCTTTCTCGCAATAGAAAAGTCTATTAGAGAGGCACTATTACTTTAACAACCTTTTTCTCCTTATTCAGCGTTAAGCGTCATCAGGTCCAAGAGTCACTTGAATTCAAATTTCTTTCTTTCCGGAAATCTTTGATGGTAGTCAAGAAGTAAATGGATTTTTAACTAAAAGTACTTCGAATTAGATTCTTTGTTGCCTCACGAAGGTCACGAAAACGCCACAGTAGATAACAGGATTAACCGTAGAATTTAGATACACCATAAACTCGCTTACTGCATGAAACTTCAACAGAGTGGTGGTAGAAAACTGTCGCCAAAAATCGGTTTTATAAATAACAAGTTTCCCAACTATAACTCCAAAATATGGCACATAAAATAGTATTATTGTCAACAATATGATGAGCATCGTCTTCAGTGATTTTCGATATTTTAGCACATCGAAAATAGCCGATGAAGAAGGGTTGCTTGTTGTTTCTGGAAGTGATTCTTGAGAAACCGAGGACGTCATTTTTGTCAGTGTTCGAAAAGCCAGCGAATAGCAAAGAATGATCACGAGTAGCAGGCCAAAAGTTCCACTGAGAACCTATTAAGAACATGGTAAAATCATGAACCTTAGATAGGGTGTCTACAATGTAATTCAGCGGTATTAAAAAGCCGCCCAAAGCCCATGAAAAAATGAGAACTGTTTTCACGCGTTTTGCTGTAACAGTAGTTTTGTATCTGGTCTTGAGCTTAACAGCCAACACACGATCAATACTGATTAGTGCTAAAGTACCAAGAGATATCGAGGCTAGCCAGAATCCCATATTTTCACCTATTATAGAAATGATGCAAAATATTTTTCTCAACTTCTCGATAGCTGTAATGTTTATAAGGATCATCAAGGGCTGAACTGTAACTCCAACCAAGAAGTCTGTCAGTGCAAGGCTTGCTAGGAGTAAGTTTGACGAGGATTTTCGTAACGAAGGCGTTTTCCAGATTACTCGAAGTATCAGATAATTCAAGCACGTCGCGGCTACTCCGCTTAATGAGTAGAAGATAGACATTGATATACGAAATGAGGAAAGATCGAGATCGAAATAAGGCCTCGATGAATAGCAGTTTGACTCGTTCGAATCCATATTTCATATTTCATCTCAGTCTTATGTTTTCAAATTTTCAAACGATTTTCTTTTCTATCCGTCATGGATGATCCAACGAAACTGAAGAAATATTTGAATCAGTACCTATGTATAACTAACTGATATTTAAACGCACAACTAATTAAAAAATTTTACGATGCTATTGAAATAAGAAGTCTAATTACAGTGAACATGCGTGGTGTGTTCCTGCTGAGAATGAAGAATCAAGTTTAATAACATACGCTGGAAAGGTGAAAAACTCTCGAATGCACCAACTACCAATTTCTTCTGATTGTTTATAACCTCTTTACTCGTCTATTTTACGCACGCGGGATCTGCAAACTGATGGGTGAATGAACATGAAAAATAAAATTAAAAAGTATAGTGACGTCACTCGCCCAGCTGTCGGCTTATTTGTATCTGACTTTAAATTTTTGGAAACGTTTTTGTTGTTGTTGTTGTTGTTGTTGTTGTTCTCCTCCTCCAGACAGACAGACAGACAGACAGACAGACAGACATATTTTATTTGGCGTTTTGTACAAAGTTGCACATCAACTTAGTTCCAAATAAGTTACGAATATATACGTATGTTTATGTATGTGCATAATATCTATATTCACATATTCCATACATACACGTCATACGTACATATATATATTCTGTGTATATAAATGTTCATATAATTATTTGGATAAAATGCGTTACTATTCCTAATCATCTTTATGCAATATTATAAAAGTATTGATTTTTATTTGTTTTGTT